CAAACGTATATCTGTCATCACAATCGACTAGTATACTTTTATTTTTTGAATTAAGTATTGTTTTAGTGACTACCAGTAAATCAGTAGTATAAGATGTATTCACCCAATTTCGTCTAAGGTGATGAAGCACTGGTAGAAGAAGAATTTTCACACAATCATATGAGTTGAGCTGACGTTTCCCTTGAATTTCACATCGCCTTGCTTTCCCAAAAGTTGTTCTCATCCCGGTTGGAGTGGACTGCAGTTTCGACCTCGCATCGGTCTTATCAACACCCTCATTTTGGTGGAATTGTCGATGAAGCAAACGTATGTTTTGCTATAAAAATCGACTACTATACTTTTTTTTAATAATCAAGTATTGTTTTCGTGCCTGCAACAGCAGTCTCCACGTTACGCCGCTATTACATAACAGGCGAAGGAGGCAACAATTGACGATGAAGAAGACACAAACGACTGTAGTCACAACCGTTTTGGCGCCAGGTTTGAAGATGAGTTGGGATTATTGGGCTGGTTGGGCTGGTTGGCAAAACAGACACACCGCAACGATGGGGCACGAACAGCGGTCGTGTGAAATGGGGCCGGTAGGAAAAGAGGCAGAAGACACCTCCGGGAGACCGAGAGATAGACGAGTTGACCTTTTGTGTGTGTGTGTCGCTGGTGCTTCTTTTACCACATCGAATAGAGACAAAAGTGAACCAGATGACGCCTGGCAAGGCTAGTTACAGATCATGTGATGCGAGTGATTAGGTCAATTATAAGAATCCTCACAATCTCCCTCACTCCGTTTGGCTGATGAAATGCAAACAGCCGAAGGTGATAATTACTAATAATTGAAGCCGAGGATACTAACAAGCTTTACTGAAGAGATGACTGAAAAAACCAATTTTATTCCTCAACATTTTCATTCAAAGATATGAAGACGAAGATGATGTATCCTTTTGTGGGGTCGATTTATCCTTCCGTTGCATAGAAGTTGTTTGACTTTGTTTTCACAACTCAGTCATGTTGGTAGGAAGACTTAAAGGAACACACCTAGTCCGGAGTCCATTGTATGCATAATCATTTGCAGAGTCGCACCGTAGACGTGGTACATTCCCAGAAGTTTCGCCGGCATCGTCAGTGAGTCTCGCCATTCTTAACACCACACCACAATTTGCCAAAGAAGCAAGTGAATCCGACACTTGGACCAATCGTCTGCTAGACAGTTGTGGTATCTCTCCTTCTGTCCTGGCCTATTCACACATCCCACATCCTCGGATCACCCCTTCAGTATCACAATTTTTTGCGTCGAGTGTGAAAGATCCTCATGAAGGCGGCTCAAAAGGGCACACCAGACTAAATTTAAATAAGCAAAGAAAAATTGTGATACTGAAGGTGTGATCCGAGGATTTGGGATGTGTGAATAGGCCAAAATAGACGGAGAGATACCACAACTGTTTAGCACACATTTGGTCAAAGCATTGGTCTCACTTGTCTCTTTGACAAGTTTTCGTGTGGTGCTAAGAAGGGCAAGAATCATTGACGATGACGGTCAAACGTCTGGAAATGTACCACGTGCACGGTCCGAGTCTGGAAATGATCATGCATACTACGGACTCGAGACAAGGTGTGTTCCTCTAGGTCTTCCTGACAATATAACCAAGTTGCAAAAACAATGTCAAACATCTTCTATACAACAGTTTTTATTGTTGAGCTAATTTCCATTTCGAGTGGAGGCGTTTGGTGGAAAGATTCGAAGATCAATCCCACCAGAAGACGACGCTGGATTCCTCTTGACTTTCCGCCGATTCGTTCTATTGAAACATCATTGTTGACGCTGTCAACTTTCGTTCGTCATCAGAGCAAAGTATCATCAAGCAGTGAGGCTATCAAGGGATTTATAACTTAGCCTCTATGGAAACCAAAGAAGATGTCTCTTGCAATTGTCATTGAGGATTTATATACAAAGAAAAGTTGGGTTTCGAGGAATCTATTATTTCATAATTGTTGAGCTTACTTCCATTTCGAGTAAAAGTGTTGAGTGAAGAGATTCGAAGGTAGGTTTTCTTGACTCGTTAGCTTCAATTTGGTTGTGACGATGATACCTTGCATTGATGATGATCATCACATGACGGAATCAAAGGAAGAAAT